GAGTCGGATCAACCAACTGTGTTTCGCAAAGCTACTGATAATTGATATGATAGGGGAAACATATGCTCAATTACTTCTCATATTTTACAGCCACATCATATTGTCGTTCTAATTTCCCCGCTTATTGTACATCAGTATCACCTTTATTCAACTGCATCGTAAGGGAAAAAGGCGAAAGCGCCAAATCTTCGGAAATTATCTTGCAATAAATTACATGCAATCTACTCACGGAGGGCACATATCGTCCTCTCCGTATGAATCATTTCCAAGATGTGCCGTCTGTGGCCTAAATAAAGAATTCAAAATAAAAATACTATTGATGGAAGATCGAGCGCATATGCTCCAGTACCTCTAGCATTTACCAACCATATACTACTAGTTATTTATTATCGTTTTGAGTACCCCTCTCATGTTACTGCCCCATAAAGCAAAAAAAGGCTAAATGGGCAAATCTTCGGAAAATATCTCTCAGTTAATCACATGATGACCACTCACCGAGTGAAGGCAAGGCCCTTTGCGTGTAAATCATTTCCACAATGTGTCGTATCCGACCTAAATCCAAAATAACAAAACATAATGCCATTGGCGGAAGTGAAACACATCTTTCAAACTTGAATAATCACTAGAGTAAAGCTTACTCTTGCGTAATTACGGGTTCTTTGAGAAGATAACGGTCTACTAGTAGATATGCGATGATTCCAAAGAGGCCTAGGAGGCAGATTACTAATAGGGCTATGGCCGCCGCTAAAATAGCAGTGTCATTGGTGCCTAGAAAAAAACATCTTGTTAGCAGTTTAAACCATTTGTCAAATAAGCACACTTTTAAAGGTAAAATATAAAATACAAAGAAACCACTAAAATCATTACGAAATACCGAAAGCCTTCTGGAAAGCATGGCACGCAGATCGATGAGCATGAAACATGCGACTGTCTACTCCGACTGTGTTAGCCATTTGCCCCAAAATAGGGTTGCAACTATTTACTTACTGCGATTGATCGATTTACTCTTTAGACCATTGCAACTCCCATACCTGATATAACTGCAGATTCGGTTGATCACGCCTTCTTGGAACACCGGATTTCCATTATGGCGTCCCCTCAACTATTACCACCGATCGAAGCCAACAATTTGAGTCTAGACTTTTTAACAGCCTTACCGACCTACTCTGATGTTCTCGCATACGCACGACAGCCTACCACGCCTCATCAAATGGTTTAGTTGAATGCTTCCATCA